TCTCTCGTTCAAATGAATGGAGCTCGTACAGCTGACACATGCACAGATGTGTTTTTTCACATTTTCCAGCCCCCACGGCCATTTTGGAACTGCCCATAGACGCCGAAAGTGGTGACACATTAGATTAGAGATAGGCGTGACTACATCTGTTAATATTTACAATCTATGGTTAGTTTGTGATGGGAGACCTCTGGGAACAGCAGGTGCCACAGTGGGGCGGCTGCGGCTGTAAAGTGCCAAACTGTGGTTGTGTCCTTAGGCAAGACACTTTCCCCACATTAGAATGAGTCTGGTGTGTGTGAATGGTTGGTGGTGGTGGGAGGGGCCGATGGCACAGACTCGTTGCCTGGCTTCTGTCGGTGTGCCCCAGGGCAGCTGTGGCTATATTAGAAGTACAATGACATCATACTGTTACTGGGCGGAGATGGGAGCTTTTAGACAGAAGGGGCGGAGCAACATGTGTGTGCCAAGTTCCCGATATCGGCGTGGATGATCCAAAAACAAATTCAGATCTGTTTTTAATGAGGGAACCATGTTTTAAAGAAGAAAGTTAAAAGTTTGGATTAAAAAAGTGCTTAAAAAGAATATCTCACACACAAATACTTTTATCTCCATAATGTGTTTTTCTTCTGTTTGGATTATTTTGTGATTGGTTTTGTTCTGAATAAATTGATGGCTTACAGATCCTGTTTCATGCCTCAGTTGAATCTCTTTCAAAAGTTTTACTAATTTGTGTTTTCAATTATTTATGTATTTATTTATTTGAGAAAGGGGGAACAATACATATTAATTAACATTTTCACAAATTTAAATATGCCAGAATATAGCCTTAGGCTAATTTCCATCTGCAGACCCCCTGCAGGTTGGTGTTACACACAAGTTAGTAAAAACAAACAGAGACACTATTTATATACAGAGAGACAGGGACAGGGACAGTGATCGCATCATGTTAGAACAAGCAGCAAGAGTGGACAAAGCACAATGTAGAAAGCAGTAACAGAAACACATCATCTGTATTGCATAAACCTGAGTATTGCACATGCCCTGACTGACCTGATATTACACTGACCCGTGTTGGACCACTCCTTATTGCACTGACCTACCTTGTATAGACCTGTATTGCACAGCCCACTGATGACCGTTTCCCGCACTGCACCAGCTCTATCTAAACATGATCTCATGTTTGAGTGTCCCTCAGCCACATTTTTAAATGACTCCTGAAGGCAGACTGGTTCTTTCCCTCACTGACACCGGAATACTATTCGAGAAGCTCCCTCCCTGATATGACAGGACGTTCTGTGAGAAAGCGGTCCGCCTAAATGTCAGTTCACAGTCGCCTCTCGCAGTGGTTCAAGTCACTCGAGAACTGGCAGTATCACTTTGGAATCTTTTTATTCAGAAAAGAAAAGGGACTGAGAAGCTTTCTTTTCTTTAAAATACACCAACTAAAGACACATTTGTTCGGACACGTTTTCTCGCATTATTGTTCATAGGCCTCTGTGAATGTAAATTGTGTTTTCTGTGTTTGTTTTATCTGACTTGTATGTGTATTTTGTATTTTAATGTGTGAAGCGCATTGTGACCCTGGTCTGTGAAAGGCGCTATATAAATAAACTTTACTTACTTACTTACTTACTTACCTGTTTTATGATTTATTTTTGACTGTTATTGTAAACTCTGTGTAGAACCAGGAGTCACTTTGAAACTAACACAATTCATTTTTACTTTTCCATTAAACTATATATTCTGTACCATGTGATCATCTTCACACAGACATCTTCAACCAGAAACATTTTTCTCAAACACAGCGTTTTGCTCCGTTTCTATTTTAGTCCCACATTTTCTGCTACATGCGAGTTTAGAATCGCAGCCTGAGCCTCTGTCAGCTGCAATGAGCCGGAGCAAAGAGGAGCTGTGACTGGAAAAGACCTGACAGGACCGAGGAACATGTGGGGGATTTATTTATTTATTTATAGATAATGAATTCCCCACATGGTCCAATAACACATACCAGTAATTCAAACAGGTTAAACTAAACCCAAGGCTTTTATAGTGTCACATCTGTACATCCCACTGTGTTTGTGTGCATCTTGTACTGGGTCAGCCTCAGTCCTGGGTCTACAGCCTCAGTCCTGGGTCTACAGCCTCAGTCCTGGGTCTACAGCCTCAGTCTTGGGTCTACAGCTTCAGTCCTGGATCTACAGCCTCAGTCCTGGATCTACAGGCTTAGTCCTGGGTCTACAGCCTCAGTCCTGGGTCTACAGCCTCAGTCCTGGGTCTAGAGCCTCAGTCCTGGGTCTACAGCCTCAGTCCTGGATCTACAGCCTCAGTCCTGGGTCTACAGCCTCAGTCCTGGATATACAGCCTCAGTCCTGGGTCTACAGCCTCAGTCCTGGATCTACTGTCTCAGTCCTGGGTCTACAGCCTCAGTCCTGGATCTACAGCCTCAGTCCTGGATCTACAGCCTCAGTCCTGGGTCTACAGCCTCAGTCCTGGATCTACAGCCTCAGTCCTGGATATACAGCCTCAGTCCTGGATCTACAGCCTCAGTCCTGGGTCTACAGCCTCAGTCCTGGGTCTACAGCCTCAGTCCTGGGTCTACAGCTTCAGTCCTGGATCTACAGCCTCAGTCCTGGATCTACAGCCTTAGTCCTGGGTCTACAGCCTCAGTCCTGGGTCTACAGCCTCAGTCCTGGATATACAGCCTCAGTCCTGGATCTACAGCCTCAGTCTTGGGTCTACAGCCTCAGTCCTGGGTCTACAGCCTCAGTCCTGGATCTACAGCCTCAGTCCTGGGTCTACAGCCTCCGTCCTGGGTCTACAGCCTCAGTCCTGGATCTACAGCCTCAGTCCTGGGTCTACAGCCTCCGTCCTGGGTCTACAGCCTCAGTCCTGGGTCTACAGCCTCAGTCCTGGGTCTACAGCCTCAGTCCTGGATCTACAGCCTCAGTCCTGGGTCTACAGCCTCAGTCCTGGGTCTACAGCCTCAGTCCTGGGTCTACAGCCTCAGTCAATCAGTCTTGTCTCTAACTTGTATCAATCTTTCATGTTGTACCGCTTTATCCAGTCCCAGGTGGTGCAGGCAGCAGTCTGAGCACGCTCCTCCAGTCCATGAAAACAGAATCCTGAGGCGTTCCCAGGCCAGCTCAGGGACGGTTGGACTTCTTATCTCCCTGTTGTCAAAGCAGAGAGTGAAGGTGTCTGTGGAGTGTTGTGTGATGATAGATGTTGTCCTTGACCTTCCTGCTCCCGAGACACCAGCTTTAAGACGTACATACAGATGAAGCAGCTTCCATCGACTCCCAGAGAAAAACAATGCGTTGTCTGCAAACTTAAAAAGCCGTATTATATCGTTCCAGGTTTTAAACAAAATTCTAAATCTGGGTCCATTAAGACACATCTGAAATACACCTCGCTGCTTTGTGAGTTCTTAAAATCTCTACATGTCAAGTCCACGGTTTTCAAAATATGTAAATGATGCATTAAATCATTTCTAAAAATCTAAAATGGCTTCTCAGCTGAGCAAATATTGAAGAAAACAGAGAAGACTTCAAAAGCAGTTTAATCCAATGAATGAATATTTTTGGACCCATTCTGTTCTGGACCACGGTCTCCTTTACTGGAACTTTATCTGAAAAACTAGAAAACTACATAAAGGTGACTTACATACTAACTAACCCCAAAACTATTTTAGGGCAAATTTCCCAGAATTCCATTGGTTTGAATGGAAGCAGTTGTCTTAAAGTCTCTGGGAGTTCTAGCCATGTCTGAAACTTGGAAGTCCTCATGTAAAAAAAAATCCTTCTGTTCTTATCTGAATAGTTTTGATGATCCACCCGAAAGTAGAAAATCCTCAGACACACCTTTAATAACTGAGTAAAGGTACAAAACTCTACATAAAGATGACTTACATACAGTACTTTCTTACTTCCCAGAATTCCATTGGTTTGAATGATAACAGATTTATCAAAGGCTCTAGGAGTTCTAGTTGTGTCAGAAACATGGGACTCCACAAACGGCCGCAGTCTTAGTCTCGCACTGATCGCTGAGACTTTTCCCGCAGCTCGTTCTGGTCCCTCAGACCTCAGTCCTGTGAGGTGCAGCCAAAAAGTTAGAGAAAGAAAAAGTAGCTTAGAAAAATCTCACATCTCGTCCTCACAGCGAGACAGATGCCGCCTCAGATAACATGTGAACGGATAAACAAGCAGCTTCTTATCACTTACACTTTCCCACAAATATGTTCAAATAAATCAGACTTTTGAGAATGGGCCGTTCCCGGGAAAGTGATATCTGCTGTTTTTAAAGTTTCTGAATGTGCTGTGAAACATACGGTTTATCACTTTGAAGGCAGGACTGGGTTTAAGTCTGGCTCAGTCTCTGGTGGAAGTGCATTTCTGAACTCATTTATCATGGATGCACCATCTGTCGTGAGCGCTGGTTCTCAAACTGTGGGGAGCGCACACACTGGGATTAGCAGCAGGTTTATTTAGAGCGTCATTATGTCACTGGTTTGTCCTGTTTGTTCAGTAATGGATTTAGAGCTGGTGTGTGTGTGCGTGTGTGTGTGCGTGCAAGTGTGTCCTGTAGAAATGAGTGATATGAATGTGAGGTTTTAACATATTGTACAAATTAGGCGAAATCTTTTATGCATTTTGGCCAAATATAAAATGTACATCCATGTAATACGCCCTTCTCAGATCTACAGACTCAGACCTCCTCACTCCCTCATGACTAAACCTCGGGGGACTGATCCTTCTGAACCGTGAGGACTGAGGCTTCTGAACGTTGGAGGACTGAGACTTCTGAACCTTGGAGGACTGAGACTTCTGAACCTTGGAGGACTGAGCCTTCTGGACCTTGGAGGACTGAGCCTTCTGAACCTTGGAGGACTGAGCCTTCTGAACCTTTGGGGACTGATCCTTCTGAACCTTGGAGCACTGATCCTTCTGAACCTAGGAGAACTGAGCCTTCTGAACCTTGGAGGACTGAGCCTTCTGAACCTAGGAGAACTGAGCCTTCTGAACCTTGGAGGACTGAGCCTTCTGAACCTTGGAGGACTGAGCCTTCTGAACCTTTGGGGACTGATCCTTCTGAACCTTGGAGGACTGAACCTTCTGAACCTTGGAGGACTGAGCCTTCTGAACCTTGGAGGACTGAACCTTCTGAACCTAGGCGAACTGAGCCTTCTGAACCTTGGAGGACTGAACCTTCTGAACCTTGGAGGACTGAGCCTTCTGAACCTTGGAGGACTGAGCCTTCTGAACCTTGGAGGACTGAGCCTTCTGAACCTTGGGGGACTGAGCCTTCTGAACTTTGGAGGACTGATCCTTCTGAACCTTGGAGGACTGAGCCTTCTGAACCTTGGGGGACTGAGCCTTCTGAACCTTGAGGGTCCGAGCCTTCCCTGCAGCTGCCCCCACTCTCTGGAACTCACTCCCACAACATCAGAAACTCAGACTTACTTTAGAACTTCAAATCACTTCTCAAACTCACCTGTCTCAGCCTGTCCTTGATGCCTGTAGTGGCCTTTGGTGACCTCCAGCCTCTCAATGTCACTAGTGCTGGATATTGGCACTCCTGTGTGTATTTAAGGCAGGCTTTTAGTGCAGCAGGTGTTGGATGTGTGACGAGGAACAGTCTTTTGACCGTGTAATTGACCACATGGAAATTAAAAAAACAAAATTGTGCATATTTTTGAGTATCGGACTCATTGTTGGACCAGGAAACTCACGCCTGAAATCCCACCAAACATTCCAACAGAGTGGTTCAGAGACACAGGACCAGTGAGCCTCTACAGTGTCCAAAAGAGGCGCTATATACAGTGAGTTATTAGTATAATTATTATTCTTATTTGAGATGTTGACTGTAAAATGAAGATTTCCTAACGGAACAAGTGTCTTTAGCAGAGTCTGGATTTATTTTCCAAGAGAGATACAACTTATTTTTTTATATTTCAAGCAAAACAAAACAACGTTGTGCTTCAAGCTTGTAATAAAAAAGCATGAGAAAACTTAATTTATTCATCCAAGTCAAAAACGGATTAAATTAAACCAGGGGTCGGGAACCCAAAATGTTCAAAGAGCCATAATTGACAAAAAAACTAAAAACAACATCTGTCTGGAGCCGCAAAAAAAATAGCAGCCTTGTATAAGGCTTTTATGAAGTTAACACAGGCTGCAAGATGTATTAGCTATATTAGCCTAATATCTAAATGACAAAGTAAAGGCTACAAATACATAATAATCATTCATGTTTATCAAATGTGTATTTTCACTGCAGCGTGTCGTGAATGACGCACCACGTGACAACTCTGCTTTAGTTTAACTTCAATTTTTTTGCCTTCATGCAATTGTAGAAATACAGTAAATAAATCTGCTTTGGGCTCAGAGGTCACATACCTGCATCACTGTCCGCTCATATCCATCACGTCACAGGCTGAAGTTTGCTGGAGCTGAATTAAAATCCTTAATGGCCTTTTCTTTCACCGTCTTTGAGAAGGTTTTGAAGTCTGAAAATAGGTGCTCTGAATTTTTGATGAATGAATCCTTCATGTAATCACCGTTTACGTTGTTTTGCGCGTCATTGTTCCTCGTGTTGCAACAAAACTTTTCATTACAAACATGAAGCAGTCCTTCCTCATTGACTGAAAGAAAATGTTCATTCTCATTCTTAGTCCAGTCTTGTTATCGACTCTTTCTCGTTTTAGCTTTGGGATCCATGTGCACTTACAGTCTATGATGCACACACGTCGGTTTGTTTACAGCAGCGGCCGCATGGGGCGGAGCCGCGTGACCGCGCGTCATAGGATATGACGCACTACGTTCACAGAAATGTTGAAATTAGATATTACTTATACATATTTTTACAGCATTTAAAAACTTAAAGATTGTTTTTCCTTCTACAGAAACCACATTCAAACTAGAAATAAAATATAGCCCTCACACTCAGGGCACATTTTCAGACATTTTTGAAAAGGCTCCAGGAGCCACTCCAGGAGCACTCAAGAGCCGCGGGTTGCCGAACCCTGAATTAAACGAAAGACTCTGGTGACGATAACACACCTTTGTCTGAGCACTGAAGTGGTTCCTGCACCACGGGTTTGGAAACACTCGCAGCACCCTCACATTCACCAGAGCTGTTTTATTTAAGTATGAAGGAGTTCTGCACCTCCTCGTTCAGGATCCAATCTCACAAACTCTGCCCCGGGACACGGCAGCTGTTCTCAAGAAAAGAGACAACACAAAACTCACGGAAAAAGTCTCTGCGAAAATCTAAAGTGTGTTTGAAGACACGGACCAGGACTCACAGGGACCACGGCTCACAGGGACTGGTATCAGGGCTGTACTAGAAACCTGAACTGAAGGTGACCAGTCCTCATTATACAGCTTCAGTCCTGGGTCTACAGTCTCAGTCCTGGGTCTACAGCTTCAGTCCTGGGTCTACAGCCTCAGTCCTGGGTCTACAGCCTCAGTCCTGGGTCTACAGCCTCACTCCTGGATCTACAGCCTCAGTCCTGGGTCTACAGCCTCAGTCCTGGGTCGAGAGCCTCAGTCCTGGGTCTACAGCCTCAGTCCTGGGTCTACAGCCTCAGTCCTGGATCTACAGCCTCAGTCCTGGGTCTACAGCCTCAGTCCTGGGTCTAGAGCCTCAGTCTATTGGGTCTATTTTATTCCTTGTTTTGTCGAGACCTTTTTTAGTTCTGCGCCACATGGTACAGAGAAGTTTATTATTATGACAGATTAGGGCCCTTTAATCTTATGTATACTTACTTTAAATATAACTTGAAATGACTATTCCTCTACATTTATGGATTGGAGCCAGACAAAAGTAGCTTCAAGTCTTCTGCACAAAACATGGACCACATTAATGACAGAGAAATGGTGCCAAAACATCTCAAAATACTTTATTCCTCCGGGAGTCCTGATGATTCATTTACACTTTGAGCAAAACTGTTTATACCCCTCATTAAATAACATTTGATAAGTTCACGTCACGAGAGAAGCAGTTTTTTTTTCCCGAAACACCATTTATTGACGCTTCAAAGCTTTAACCGAGACCTATTTCTGTGCAGCCAATTATGTGGCCCGTCCCACTCACATCTCTGTGCTCATGTGGGTCGAGAACCGTAACACATCTGAAAACACACAGACCCCACTGTAGCTCGCTCTTAAACAGACCACATGATGTAGTGTTGAATGAGAAACACATGGAAATGACTTAAAACGGGCTTCTCAGGGTAAAAATAGTTACATTAAGTCCAGACTAAACCGACACTGGACGCTTCCAAAACACATGGACAGGTCGTTGATGACGGTTCTCACATGTTGTTATTGATAACTCTCAAGTGCAGAGTTCTCTTGGTTTAAGACCCAAAATGGGACAAACCAGGTCGTTATCAAAGCTCATCAATCAATCACCTGGATGACCTGGTTGTGCTCAGTCCGTACAGAGCAGGACTTCAGCAGCTCCTCAATATACAGTGCCTTGCGAAAGTATACGGCCCCCTTGAACCTTTCAACATTTCGCCACATTTCAGGCTTCAAACATAAAGATATAAAAATAATTGTTTTTGTCAAGAATCAACAACAAGTGGGACACAATCTGAAGTGGAACAAAATTTATTGGATAATTTAAACTTTTTTAACAAATAAAAAACTGAAAAGTGGGGCGTGCAATATTATTCGGCCCCCTTGCGCTAATACTTTGTAGCGCCACCTTTTGCTGCAATTACAGCTGCAAGTCGCTTGGGGTATGTCTCTATCAGTTTTGCACATCGAGAGACCGGAATTCTTGCCCATTCTTCCTTGTAAAACAGCTCGAGCTCAGTGAGGTTGGATGGAGAGCGTTTGTGAACAGCAGTCTTCAGCTCTTTCCACAGATTCTCGATTGGATTCAGGTCTGGACTTTGACTTGGCCATTCTAACACCTGGATACGTCTATTTGTGAACCATTCCATTGTAGATTTGGCTTTATGTTTTGGATCATTGTCCTGTTGGAAGATAAATCTCCGTCCCAGTCTCAGGTCTTTTGCAGACTCCAACAGGTTTTCTTCCAGAATGGTCCTGTATTTGGCTCCATCCATCTTCCCATCAATTTTAGCCATCTTCCCTGTCCCTGCTGAAGAAAAGCAGGCCCAAAGCATGATGCTGCCACCACCATGTTTGACAGTGGGGATGGTGTGTTCAGGGTGATGAGCTGTGTTGCTTTTACGCCAAACATATCGTTTTGCATTGTGGCCAAAAAGTTTGATTTTGGTTTCATCTGACCAGAGCACCTTCTTCCACATGTTTGGTGTGTCTCCCAGGTGGCTTGTGGCAAACTTTAAACAAGGCTTTTCATGGATATCTTTGAGAAATGCCTTTCTTCTTGCCACTCTTCCATAAAGGCCAGATTTGTGCAGTGCACGACTGATTGTTGTCCTATGGACAGACTCTCCCACCTCAGCTGTAGTTATCTGCAGTTCATCCAGAGTGATCATGGGCCTCTTGGCTGCATCTCTGATCAGTCTTCTCCTTGTTTGAGATTAAAGTTTGGAGGGACGGCCGGGTCTTGGTAGATTTGCAGTGGTCTGATACTCCTTCCATTTCAATATAATTGCTTGCACAGTGCTCCTTGAGATGTTTAAAGCTTGGGAAATCTTTTTGTATCCAAATCCGGCTTTAAACTTCTCCACAACAGTATCTCGGACCTGCCTGGTGTGTTCCTTTGTCTTCATGGTTCTCTCTGCGCTTTAAACAGAACCCTGAGACTATCAAAGAGCAGGTGCATTTATACGGAGACTTGATTACACACAGGTGCATTCTACTTATCATCATCAGTCATTTAGGACAACATTGGATCATTCAAAGATCCTCTCTGAACTTCTGGACTGAGTTTGCTGCACTGAAAGTAAAGGGGCCGAATAATATTGCACGCCCCACTTTTCAGTTTTTTATTTGTTAAAAAAGCTTAAATTATCCAATAAATTTTGTTCCACTTCACGATTGTGTCCCACTTGTTGTTGATTCATGACAAAAAATAAAAAATGTATATCTTAATGTTTGAAGCCTGAAATGTGGTGAAATGTTGAAAGGTTCAAGGGGGCCGAATACACTGTATGCTCCGAGTACGGTCTTCAAAATTACATAAAATATAACTCTAGTGAAAGCTTCATTATGATTGTGAGGACAAAAAATGACATGAAATCTGTACTTCCTGCATTCTCCCGATGTGGTAATGCTCTTAATGTCAGTGAGGAGGTAAAGTACCTTGGGCATTACATATGCAGTGACCTCACAGACGACCGGGATATACACAGACAGAGATGTAAACAGAGTGGCCAATCCAACATGCTGGTCAGGAAGTTTAACATGTGCTCTGTGAATGTTAAAACCTCCCTGTTCCAATGTTTTTGTGCTCCCTTATACACAGCCCAACTGTGGCGGAGCTATAAGCAGCCAGTCTGCAGAAGTTAACTGACTATAATGACTCGAGGATGCTGTTGAAGATCCCAGACACAGTGGTCCAGTCAGATGTTTGCTGGGTGCAGGGTGCGCTCCTTTCCTGCTGCCTAATGCTATTGTACAGTCTCTGGTTTGTCCTTACATTAGCTCAGTCAGGTTCACTTCTTTGCTTTGGAGTCACTGGCTTCTCTGTATGTGTGACCTGCTCTAAATATGCAAACTTTTCTTTCATTATTCTTGGCTATGGATCCTGTGCTTGCATGTGAGTCCTTAATAAAGTCTAAATAAAATAAATCAATCAATCAAATTTTATTTATCAAGGCCTTTACAAACACACAAGGCGACCAAAGTGCTGTGCAATAAAATCACATAAAATCTGTTTTTAAAAAAATAAAGCATCAGCGTCTTTACTTTATGTGAAGAATTTACCACAAACTTTAAGATCCTGCTTTTGCATTTATTTTTTATCTTTAATATGAATATTATTGTTATAAATTATTTAAATTATCATTATTAAAAAACCCTTCCTGTAGAAAACTAAATTGTAGAAAAAAATAGTCATCATAGTCCAAAAAAAAAGCGCAGTACGTCTCCTTTAAGTTCAAAACACAAATACTTGGAAAATCCAAACACATGAACTTTTAACCAGCAGCACACAGCACCAGGACATAGGGGAACATAAAGTATGAGTGATTAGTTTTGGCTTCATGCATATCCATGGTCCTGGCTCCTCTCCATGGTCCAAGCTCCTCTCCATGGTTCTTGCTCCTCTCCATGGTCCTGGCTCCTCTCCATGGTCCTGGCTCCTCTCCATGGTCCTGGCTCCTCTCCATGGTTCTGGCTCCTCTCCATGGTCCTGGCTCCTCTCCATGGTCCTGGCTCCTCTCCATGGTTCTGGCTCCTCTCCATGGTCCTGGCTCCTCTCCATGGTCCTGGCTCCTCTCCATGGTCCTAGCTCCTCTCCATGATCCAAGCTCCTCTCCATGGTCCTGGCTCCTCTCCATGGTCCTGGCTCCTCTCCATGGTCCTGGCTCCTCTCCATGGTCCTGGCTCCTCTCCATGATCCAAGCTCCTCTCCATGGTCCTGGCTCCTCTCCATGGTCCTGGCTCCTCTCCATGGTCCTAGCTCCTCTCCATGGTCCAAGCTCCTCTCCATGGTCCTGGCTCCTCTCCATGGTCCTGGCTCCTCTCCATGGTCCTAGCTCCTCTCCATGGTCCAAGCTGCTCTCCATGGTTCTTGCTCCTCTCCATGGTCCTGGCTCCTCTCCATGGTCCTGGCTCCTCTCCATGGTCCTGGCTCCTCTCCAGGGTCCAGGCTCCTCTCCATGGTTCTGGCTCCTCTCCATGGTCCTGGCTCCTCTCCATGGTCCTGGCTCCTCTCCATGGTCCTGGCTCCTCTCCATGGTCCTGGCTCCTCTCCATGGTCCTGGCTCCTCTCCAGGGTCCAGGCTCCTCTCCATGGTTCTGGCTCCTCTCCATGGTCCTGGCTTCTCTCCATGGTCCTGGCTCCTCTCCATGGTCCTGGCTCCTCTCCATGGTCCAAGCTCCTCTCCATGGTCTTGGCTCCTCTCCATGGTCCTGGCTCCTCTCCATGGTCCTGGCTCCTCTCCATGGTCCAGGCCCCTCTCCATGGTCCTAGCTCCTCTCCATGGTCCGGGCCCCTCTCCATGGTCCTGGCCCCTCTCCATGGTCCTGACCCCTCTCCATGGTCCTGACCCCTCTCCATGGCTCCTCTCCATGGTCCTCGCCCCTCTCCATGGTCCAGGCCCCTCTCCATGGTCCTGACCCCTCTCCATGGTCCAGGCCCCTCTCCATGGTCCTGACCCCTCTCCATGGTCCTGGCCCTTCTCCATTGTCCAAGCCCCTCTCCATTATCCTGGCCCCTCTCCATTGTCCTGACCCCTCTCCATGGTCCAAGCCCCTCTCCATGGTCCTGGCTCCTCTCATGGTCCAAGCCCCTCTCCATGGTCCAAGCCCCTCTCCATAGTCCTGGCTCCTCTCATGGTCCAAGCCCCTCTCCATGGTCCAGGCCCCTCTCCATGGTCCAAGCCCCTCTCCATGGTCCTGGCCCCTCTCCATGGTCCTGACCCCTCTCCATGGCCCAAGCCCCTCCCCATGGTCCTGACCTCTCTCCATGGCTCCTCTCCATGGTCCTGGCCCGTCTCCATGGTCCTGACCCCTCTCCATGGTCCTGACCCCTCTCCATGGTCCTGACCCCTCTCCATGGTCCTGACCCCTCTCCATGGTCCAAGCCCCTCCCCATGGTCCTGACCTCTCTCCATGGCTCCTCTCCATGGTCCTGTCCCCTCTCCATGGTCCTGACCCCTCTCCATGGTCCTGGCCCCTCTCCATGGTCCAAGCCCCTCCCCATGGTCCTGACCTCTCTCCATGGCTCCTCTCCATGGTCCTGGCCCCTCTCCATGGTCCTGGCCCCTCTCCATGGTCCTGGCCCCTCTCCATGGTCCTGACCCCTCTCCATGGTCCTGTCCCCTCTCCATGGTCCCCTCTCGGATCAGTCTGCTTCTAAACAGTCGTGTGGACTTGATGAATGGCGGCGCCGACAGCCGACAACAGCCGCGCTCTGCTCCAAACGCCTCTGCTCTGAGCCCTGTGTTTGTTGGAGGTAATAACGTCTCTTCAGAGAGCGGCGTCTGACTCACCGGGTCGTGTGCAAAAACAGGCTGAAGACCATTACTGAAGAAGACGTTTATCTGGGAGCGCGGTTCAAGGACACAGAGACAAAAACACACGTGGAGCAGTCACAGATGGTCAATAACAAGACACAGATTCTGTAAATTGTTAATAAATTGTTAATATCTTGTGTATATTTATGGACATTAGTTAGCACGCCCCTAATGGCCCAATGGCTCCTATGTGTTTGTTTTTATTTTTGTATTTCTGTGTTTAAACTGCTGTTGTGATTTATATCAATACAAAAAATAAGGGACTTAATCCTTATTCAATGTATTTACTTAAACTCTCTGCTTTTGCTCATATCCCACAGTCCTCTCTGCTCCAGACCCTCGAACAAACCTCTCCCTAACCCTGACCCACAAGAGGGAAAACCCACGCATTTCCTTGCAACACAGCCTGGATGATTAAAGTTGGGGTGCCTTACTTTTCTTTCAGTCCCGGGAGTGACTCTTTGGGGTCAGAGCTGATTGGCCGGTGAGGATGGTCCGTTCTTTTTCATGTTTCTGTCTGAAGTTGATCTAAAGATGAGACTGAAGCCAAAAAATACAAATGGCTGTTTTGAGAGATGGATTTATGACATTATTTATTTTTTTAAATGTGGGTTTTAAATGTAGATACCTCAGGCTACGGTCCAGTCGTACACATGTCTTAAAGCTGCAGTACCCACATTCTACATCACAAGAAATTATATAGATAGTTCGATAAATAGGCAGATAGATAATGTAGGTAGATGGATAGGAGACATGATTTTTAATGAAATCCATGTGACAAGTTTCTCTGTCTTAAAACTGTTCTTCTGCAGGAACTAAGGCAGGTCTGTTTTGCCTCTGTCACATACTGTCTTTAGATCATCTCAAGGAAAGAACCAGCCACACTCCAGCTCTTGGTATGTGTACAGAATGTGACTTAAAGTGGATTTGTTTTGCTCAAACTAGAGAGAGAACATACACACATTAGTATGAAAAAGAGGTCAAAAGTTAAGTGCTAAGGTTATGTGATTGATGCTATAACTCTGAGCTGTGACAGTAATGTTTTAGGTTTTGAGTTTACTAAAGCACTTTAAATTACCCCAAACAAACTTGCTTTGCCTTAAGTGTTCTGTCTGCATTTGTCGCTGTCCATGGTGCTGAACTAAAACCAGCTGTGATGCTTGAAGTAGAAGTGGAGTAAAATTGTGTACCATGTCGCCCAGTAATAACACATGTATGAAAGTAGGATTTTATTGAGACAGAATCATGCCCCCGCAACCTGGCAAATAGATGACGCGGAAGAAAATGGATGGATGGATGGATGGGAAATCACGACCTGTATCTTTTCATTTGCTGACCTTGGTGCTGAGAAATAAAAAAAGACAACATCACGTGGAGGGATGGCATTCAATTGCTTATAAAACAGAACAACAAATATGTGCAACAAAACATAACTTACTCCAGTGTTCTACTTCTCCTAGTCCCACTGGGAGCTGTCCATGGTCCTGAAAGACAGGAAGGAAGTTTGTTTTTCCATTACAGGAGAGGAAAACATCATAATAAATGAAAAACAAATAATACTTTTCTTTTCAGCACCATGGACAGCAGCCAGTGTGACATACTGAGCCCTGCAAGCAAGTATTGATTAAATCTAGAAGGAGTTGTTAATCAAACCCGACTTTTTCTTCATGAATATTTTAGGATCTATTCACGCACACAAATACACACACAGACACACACACAGACTCACACACACACACACAGACTCACACACACACACACGCACAGACTCACGCGCACACACACACACACGCACTCACGTACACACACACACACACACACACGCACACACATACACACACACGCACACACACACATGTTTTTTGGGGACATTGCATCGGCTTATATTCATATCCACATATTTTTAAAGATTCTATATATTCTTTACTCAACATTAATAATACTTAAGACTTTCTCCACCTAAAAGAGTGAGACTATGACACATGTAGCTAATCTTGATAAAATACAGTAGAACATAATAAAACGGTCTAGTTTTGTAGTAAGAAGACCACTTTCGTCAACCAAACTTGTTCAAGGGCAGACAGCATGGATCTGGGCTGATCTGGTCGTGTCCAGGGTGCTCCGGTTTCCCCCACGACTAAAAACAACTTAGTATAAAGCCACATTCACACAGGGAGGAAGTGGCAGGTGGACTTTGATGCTAACGGGTTAAGCTAGCGGCTATTTGAGGAAAGTGTTCACGGAGCTACACCATTGGTTTAATTATGGGCTGGGGGCGGAGCAAGGTGGAGCACAGAGGAGGGGCCAAAGCAAGCAGAGGATGGGAGGATGGGGGGCTTTTCACTGCATGACTATATTGGTGGAGCTGAAGTTGGCTGGAAGTCACTGTCAAAACACCCCAATGCTTTTTACTAGCAAGACAGAGAGCCACATAACGGACAGACGGACGGACGGACAGACAGAGACACACAGACAGACAGAGACACACAGACAGACAGACAGACACACAACAGACAGACAGACAGATACACAGACAGACAGACCTCCACCAGTCCAGGACCAAACCGGGACACAACCGGGACCAAACCGGGACATGAGCCAAACAAACCCAGATCGAATCAGGGCAAAAATGCTGATTCAGTTCATGAAAATTGCAAAAAGTAATCTGTAAAAATAAAATATGCAAAGTTTGAGCGTCTGCAGACTGAACACGTGTCGATAAATCTGATCCCAACGACGTGGATTGTTGACCGAGACGCTGAGGCCGAGAGACGCTGAGACCGAGAGACGCCGAGACCGAGAAACGCCGAGGCCGAGAGACGCCGAGACCGAGAGACGCCGAGACCGAGAGACGCTGGGGCCGAGAGACACTGAGACCGAGAGACGCCGAGACCGAGAGACGCCGAGACCGAGAGACGCCGAGACCGAGAGACGCCGAGACCGAGAGACGCCGAGACCGAGAGACGCCGGGACCGAGAGACGCTGAGACCGAGAGACGCTGGGACCGAGAGACGCCGAGACCGAGAAACGCCGAGGCCGAGAGACGCCGAGGCCGAGAGACGCCGAGGCCGAGAGACGCCGAGGCCGAGAGACGCCGAGGCCGAGAGACACCGAGACCGAGAGACGCCGAGGCCGAGAGACGCTGAGACCGAGAGACGCTGGGACCGAGAGACACTGAGACCGAGAGACGGCGAGACCGAGAGACGGCGAGACCGAGAGACGCTGAGACCGAGAGACGCTGAGACCGAGAGACGCTGAGACCGAGAGACGCTGAGACCGAGAGACGCTGAGACCGAGAGACGCTGAGACCGAGAGACGCTGAGACCGAGAGACGCTGAGGCCGAGAGACGCTGCGACCGAGAGACGCTGGGACCGACAGACGCTGCGACCGAGAGACGCTGAGACCGAGAGACGCTGAGACCGAGAGACGCTGGGACCGAGAGACGCTGAGACCGAGAGACGCTGAGACCGAGAGACGCTGAGACCGAGAGACGCTGAGACCGAGAGACGCTGAGACCGAGAGACGCTGAGACCGAGAGACGCTGAGACCGAGAGACGCTGAGACCGAGAGACGCTGAGACCGAGAGACGCTGAGACCGAGAGACGCTGAGACCGAGAGACGCTGCGACCGAGAGACGCTGAGACCGAGAGACGCTGAGACCGAGAGACGCTGAGACCGAGAGACGCTGAGACCGAGAGACGCTGAGACCGAGAGACGCTGCGACCGAGAGACGCTGCGACCGAGAGACGCTGAGACCGAGAGACGCTGAGACCGAGAGACGCTGAGACCGAGAGACGCTGAGGCCGAGAGACGCTGGGACCGAGAGACGCTGAGACCGAGAGACGCTGAGACCGAGAGACGCTGAGACCGAGAGACGCTGAGGCCGAGAGACGCTGAGGCCGAGAGACGCTGGGACCGGAGACGCTGGGACGGGAGAGACTGGCTGAGACGTGAGACGCTGAGACCGAGACGCTGAGACCGAGAGACGCTGAGGCCGAGAGACGCTGAGACCGAGAGACGCTGAGACCGAGAGACGCTGAGACCGAGAGACGCTGCGACCGAGAGACGCTGCGACCGAGAGACGCTGAGACCGAGAGACGCTGAGACCGAGAGACGCTGAGACCGAGAGACGCTGAGGCCGAGAGACGCTGGGACCGAGAGACGCTGAGACCGAGAGACGCTGAGACCGAGAGACGCTGAGACCGAGAGACGCTGAGGCCGAGAGACGCTGAGGCCGAGAGACGCTGGGACCGGGAGACGCTGGCTGAGACCGTGAGACGCTGAGACCGAGAGACGCTGAGACCGAGAGACGCTGAGGCCGAGAGACGCTGCGACCGAGAGACGCTGGGACCAAGAGACGCTGCGACCGAGAGACGCTGAGACCGAGAGACGCTGAGACCGAGAGACGCTGGGACCGAGAGACGCTGAGACCGAGAGACGCTGAGACCGAGAGACGCTGAGACCGAGAGACGCTGAAACCGAAAGACGCTGAGACCGAGAGACGCTGGCTGAGACCGAGAGACGCTGAGACCGAGAGACGCTGAGACCGAGAGACGCTGAGACCGAGAGACGCCGAGACCGAGAGACGCTGAGGCCGAGAGACGCTGAGGCCGAGAGACGCTGGGACCGAGAGACGCTGAGACCGAGAGACGCTGAGACCGAGAGACGCTGAGACCGAGAGACGCTGAAACCGAGAGACGCTGAGACCGAGAGACGCTGGCTGAGACCGAGAGACGCTGAGACCGAGAGACGCTGAGACCGAGAGACGCTGAGACCGAGAGACGCCGAGACCGAGAGACGCCGAGACCGAGAGACGCCGAGGCCGAGAGACGCTGGGACCGAGAGACGCTGAGACCGAGAGACGCTGAGACCGAGAGACGCTGAGACCGAGAGACGCTGAGGCCGAGAGACGCTGCGACCGAGAGACGCTGGGACCGAGAGACGCTGCGACCGAGAGACGCTGAGGCCGAGAGACGCTGAGACCGAGAGACGCTGAGACCGAGAGACGCTGAGACCGAGAGACGCTGAGACCGAGAGACGCTGAGACCGAGAGACGCTGAGGCCGAGAGACGCTGCGACCGAGAGACGCTGGGACCGAGAGACGCTAAGACCGAGAGACGCTGAGACCGAGAGACGCTGAGACCGAGAGACGCTGAGACCGAGAGACGCTGAGACCGAGAGACGCTGAGACCGAGAGACGCTGAGACCGAGAGACGCTGAGACCGAGAGACGCTGAGACCGAGAGACGCTGAGACCGAGAGACGCTGAGGCCGAGAGACGCTGCGACCGAGAGACGCTGGGACCAAGAGACGCTGCGACCGAGAGACGCTGAGACCGAGAGACGCTGAGACCGAGAGACGCTGGGACCGAGAGACGCTGAGACCGAGAGACGCTGAGACCGAGAGACGCTGAGACCGAGAGACGCTGAAACCGAGAGACCCTGAGACCGAGAGACGCTGGCTGAGACCGAGAGACGCTGAGACCGAGAGACGCTGAGACCGAGAGACGCTGAGACCGAGAGACGCCGAGACCGAGAGACGCCGAGACCGAGAGACGCCGAGGCCGAGAGACGCTGGGACCGAGAGACGCTGAGACCGAGAGACGCTGAGACCGAGAGACGCTGAGACCGAGAGACGCTGAAACCGAGAGACGCTGAGACCGAGAGACGCTGGCTGAGACCGAGAGACGCTGAGACCGAGAGACGCTGAGACCGAGAGACGCTGAGACCGAGAGACGCCGAGACCGAGAGACGCTGAGACCGAGAGACGCTGAGGCCGAGAGACGCTGGGACCGAGAGACGCTGAGACCGAGAGACGCTGAGACCGAGAGACGCTGAGACCGAGAGACGCTGAGGCCGAGAGACGCTGAGGCCGAGAGACGCTGGGACCGAGAGACGCTGCGACCGAGAGACGCTGAGACCGAGAGACGCTGAGACCGAGAGACGCTGGGACCGAGAGACGCTGAGACCGAGAGACGCTGAGACCGAGAGACGCTGAGACCGAGAGACGCTGAGACCGAGAGACGCTGAGACCGAGAGACGCTGAGACCGAGAGACGCTGAGCCGAGAGAGCGCTGAGAGCCGAGAGACGCTGCGACCGAGAGACGCTGCGACCGAGAGACGCTGAGACCGAGAGACGCTGAGACCGAGAGACGCTGGGACCGAGAGACGCTGAGACCTAGAGACGCTGCGACCGAGAGACGCTGAGACCGAGAGACGCTGAGACCGAGAAACGCTAAGACCAAGAGACGCTGAGACCGAGAGACGCTGAGACCGAGAGACGCTGAGACCGAGAGACGCTGAGACCGAGAGACCGAGAGACGCTGAGACCGAGAGACGCTGAGACCGAGAGACGCTGAGACCGAGAGACGCTGAGACCGAGAGACGCTGAGACGAGAGAGACGCTGAGGCCGAGAGACGCTGCGACCGAGAGACGCTGGGACCAAGAGACGCTGCGACCGAGAGACGCTAAGACCGAGAGACGCTGAGACCGAGAGACGCTGGGACCGAGAGACGCTGGGACCGAGAGACGCTGAGACCTAGAGACGCTGCGACCGAGAGACGCTGAGACCGAGAGACGCTGAGACCGAGAAACGCTAAGACCAAGAGACGCTGAGACCGAGAGACGCTGAGACCGAGAGACGCTGAGACCGAGAGACGCTGAGACCGAGAGACGCTGAGACCGAGAGACGCTGAGACCGAGAGACGCTGAGACCGAGAGACGCTGAGACCGAGAGACGCTGAGACCGAGAGACGCTGAGGCCGAGAGACGCTGCGACCGAGAGACGCTGGGACCAAGAGACGCTGCGACCGAGAGACGCTAAGACCGAGAGACGCTGAGACCGAGAGACGCTGGGACCGAGAGACGCTGAGACCGAGAGACGCTGAGACCGAGAGACGCTGAGACCGAGACACGCTGAAACCGAGAGACGCTGAGACCGAGAGACGCTGGCTGAGACCGAGAGACGCTGAGACCGAGAGACGCTGAGACCGAGAGACGCTGAGACCGAGAGACGCAGAGACCGAGAGACGCTGAGACCGAGAGACGCTGAGGCCGAGAGACGCTGGGACCGAGAGACACTGAGACCGAGAGACGCTGAGACCGAGAGACGCTGAGACCGAGAGACGCTGAAACCGAGAGACGCTGAGACCGAGAGACGCTGGCTGAGACCGAGAGACGCTGAGACCGAGAGACGCTGAGACCGAGAGACGCTGAGACCGAGAGACGCCGAGACCGAGAGACGCTGAGACCGAGAGACGCTGAGGCCGAGAGACGCTGGGACCGAGAGACGCTGAGACCGAGAGACGCTGAGACCGAGAGACGCTGAGACCGAGAGACGCTGAGGCCGAGAGACGCTGCGACCGAGAGACGCTGGGACCGAGAGACGCTGCGACCGAGAGACGCTGAGACCGAGAGACGCTGAGACCGAGAGACGCTGAGACCGAGAGACGCTGAGACCGAGAGACGCTGAGACCGAGAGACGCTGAGACCGAGAGACGCTGAGACCGAGAGACGCTGAGACCGAGAGACGCTGAGGCCGAGAGACGCTGCGACCGAGAGACGCTGGGACCAAGAGACGCTGCGACCGAGAGACGCTGAGACCGAGAGACGCTGAGACCGAGAGACGCTAAGACCGAGAGACGCTGAGACCGAGAGACGCTGAGACCGAGAGACGCTGAGACCGAGAGACGCCGAGACCGAGAGACGCTGAGACCGAGAGACGCTGAGACCGAGAGACGCTGAGGCCGAGAGACGCTGAGACCGAGAGACGCTGAGACCGAGAGACGCTGAGACCGAGAGACGCTGAGGCCGAGAGACGCTGCGACCGAGAGACGCTGGGACCGAGAGACGCTGCGACCGAGAGACGCTGAGACCGAGAGACGCTGAGACCGAGAGACGCTGAGACCGAGAGACGCTGAGACCGAGAGACGCTGAGACCGAGAGACGCTGAGACCGAGAGACGCTGAGACCGAGAGACGCTGAGACCGAGAGACGCTGAGACCGAGAGACGCTGAGACCGAGAGACGCTGAGACCGAGAGACGCTGAGACCGAGAGACGCTGAGACCGAGAGACGCTGAGGCCGAGAGACGCTGCGACCGAGAGACGCTGGGACCACGAGACGCTGCGACCGAGAGACGCTGAGACCGAGAGACGCTGAGACCGAGAGACGCTGGGACCGAGAGACGCTGAGACCGAGAGACGCTGAGACCGAGAGACGCTGAGACCGAGAGACGCTGAAACCGAGAGACGCTGAGACCGAGAGACGCTGGCTGAGACCGAGAGACGCTGAGACCGAGAGACGCTGAGACCGAGAGACGCTGAGACCGAGAGACGCTGAGACCGAGAGGCGCCGAGACCGAGAGACGCTGAGGCCGAGAGACGCTGGGACCGAGAGACGCTGAGACCGAGAGACGCTGAGACCGAGAGACGCTGAGACCGAGAGACGCTGAGGCCGAGAGACGCTGCGACCGAGAGACGCTGGGACCGAGAGACGCTGCGACCGAGAGACGCTGAGACCGAGAGACGCTGAGACCGAGAGACGCTGGGACCGAGAGACGCTGAGACCGAGAGACGCTGAGACCGAGAGACGCTGAGACCGAGAGACGCTGAGACCGAGAGACGCTGAGGCCGAGAGACGCTGAGGCCGAGAGACGCTGCGACCGAGAGACGCTGCGACCGAGAGACGCTGAGACCGAGAGACGCTGAGACCGAGAGACGCTGGGACCGAGAGACGCTGAGACCTAGAGACGCTGAGACCGAGACGCTGACGCTGAGACCGAGAGACGCTGAGGCCGAGAGACGCTGGGACCGAGAGACGCTGAGACCGAGAGACGCTGAGACCGAGAGACGCTGAGGCCGAGAGACGCTGCGACCGAGAGACGCTGCGACCGAGAGACGCTGGGACCGAGAGACGCTGCGACCGAGAGACGCTGAGACCGAGAGACGCTGCGACCGAGAGACGCTGAGACCGAGAGACGCTGAGACCGAGAGACGCTGGGACCGAGAGACGCTGAGACCGAGAGACGCTGAGACCGAGAGACGCTGAGACCGAGAGACGCTGAGACCGAGAGACGCTGAGACCGAGAGACGCTGAGACCGAGAGACGCTGGGACCGGGAGACGCTGGCTGAGACCGTGAGACGCTGAGACCGAGAGACGCTGAGACCGAGAGACGCTGAGACCGAGAGACGCTGGGACCGGGAGAGTTTATCTGTATGGGACAGTTCATACACAAGGAAAACAGCATTAACATAATTTATATTCACAGTACATTAGAAAGAGTGGAGATAAAATCCTTCAGTTGTTGCTGTTTTTAACCTAGATTTTCAAAGAAGAAATCTGTCTCACATTTTCAAGAAGTCTATTTCAGGCTTTATCTGAATAAATCTGAAAGGCTGCCTTCTCATGTAGTCCTGACTCTGGGACCAGCAGGAGACCAGTCCCTGTGCTCCTCAGAGTCCCAGCAGGAGGCCAGTCCCTGTGCTCCTCAGAGTCCCAGCAGGAGGCCAGTCCCTGTGCTCCTCAGAGTCCCAGCAGGAGGCCAGTCCCTGTGCTCCTCAGAGTCCCAGCAGGAGGTTGCAGTTTCCTCGGTTGAATCCCCTCCGACCAATCAGAGAGCGGTGGAGGCGGGTGTTGTAGGTCGGTATCGGTGACGTCCAGAGTTTGTGCTGAATTTGCTGCTTGTAGTTTGTCGGAGAATGAGATAGTAATAATAATAAAAATAATCTGTTCTGGTTCAATCCAAATATCAAGGAACTGAAGCCGGAGCAAGAGGAATGTTTAGTAAATAATAATAATAATAAATCAGTTTTATACAGCGCTTTTCTGGACACTCAAAGACGCTCTACAAATCATTATTCTTTCACTCCATACACGGTCGTGATAAACTACAATTGTAGCCACAGCTGCCCTGGGGCACACTGACAGAAGCAAGGCAACCAGTATGCGCCATCGGAAGCAAAGTGTTATGGTGTGGATTTTTATTTCTGTATTTGGTTTTATTTTGACATTAGTTATCTGGTTTCATTTCAGTTTTACTTCCTGTCCTGTTCCCCTCTTGATTGTCTGCCCTGCCCTGATGTGTTTCACCTGTGTCTGTGTCTGTATGTACCTGTGCCTGATGTGTCTCACCTGTGTCTGTGTCTGTATGTACCTGTGCCTGATGTGTCTCACCTGTGTCTGTGTCTGTATGTACCTGTGCCTGATGTGTCACACCTGTGTCTGTGTCTGTATGTACCTGTGCCTGATGTGTCTCACCTGTGTCTGTGTCTGTATGTACCTGTGCCTGATGTGTTTCACCTGTGTCTGTGTCTGTATGTACCTGTGCCTGATGTGTCTCACCTGTGTCTGTGTCTGTATGTACCTGTGCCTGATGTGTTTCACCTGTGTCTGTGTCTGTATGTACCTGTGCCTGATGTGTCTCACCTGTGTCTGTGTCTGTATGACCTGTGCCTGATGTGTCTCACCTGTGTCTGTGTCTGTATGTACCTGTGCCTGATGTGTCTCACCTGTGTCTGTGTCTGTATGTACCTGTGCCTGATGTGTTTCACCTGTGTCTGTGTCTGTATGTACCTGTGCCTGATGTGTTTCACCTGTGTCTGTATGTACCTGTGCCTGATGTGTTTCACCTGTGTCTGTGTCTGTATGTACCTGTGCCTGATGTGTCTCACCTGTGTCTGTGTCTGTATGTACCTGTGCCTGATGTGTCTCACCTGTGTCTGTGTCTGTATGTACCTGTGCCTGATGTGTTTCACCTGTGTCTGTATGTACCTGTGCCTGATGTGTCTCACCTGTGTCTGTGTCTGTATGTACCTGTGCCTGATGTGTCTCACCTGTGTCTGTGTCTGTATGTACCTGTGCCTGATGTGTCTCACCTGTGTCTGTGTCTGTATGTACCTGTGCCTGATGTGTCTCACCTGTGTCTGTGTCTGTATGTACCTGTGCCTGATGTGTCTCACCTGTGTCTGTGTCTGTATGTACCTGTGCCTGATGTGTTTCACCTGTGTCTGTATGTACCTGTGCCTGATGTGTTTCACCTGTGTCTGTGTCTGTATGTACCTGTGCCTGATGTGTTTCACCTGTGTCTGTGTCTGTATGTACCTGTGCCTGATGTGTTTCACCTGTGTCTGTGTCTGTATGTACCTGTGCCTGATGTGTCTCACCTGTGTCTGTGTCTGTATGTACCTGTGCCTGATGTGTCTCACCTGTGTCTGTGTCTGTATGTACCTGTGCCTGATGTGTCTCACCTGTGTCTGTGTCTGTATGTACCTGTGCCTGATGTGTCTCACCTGTGTCTGTGTCTGTATGTACCTGTGCCTGATGTGTCTCACCTGTGTCTGTGTCTGTATGTACCTGTGCCTGATGTGTCTCACCTGTGTCTGTGTCTGTATGTACCTGTGCCTGATGTGTTTCACCTGTGTCTGTGTCTGTATGTACCTGTGCCTGATGTGTTTCACCTGTGTCTGTGTCTGTATGTACCTGTGCCTGATGTGTCTCACCTGTGTCTGTGTCTGTATGTACCTGTGCCTGATGTGTCTCACCTGTGTCTGTATGTACCTGTGCCTGATGTGTCTCACCTGTGTCTGTGTCTGTATGTACCTGTGCCTGATGTGTCTCACCTGTGTCTGTGTCTGTATGTACCTGTGCCTGATGTGTTTCACCTGTGTCTGTGTCTGTATGTACCTGTGCCTGATGTGTCTCACCTGTGTCTGTGTCTGTATGTACCTGTGCCTGATGTGTCTCACCTGTGTCTGTGTCTGTATGTACCTGTGCCTGATGTGTCTCACCTGTGTCTGTGTCTGTATGTACCTGTGCCTGATGTGTTTCACCTGTGTCTGTGTCTGTATGTACCTGTGCCTGATGTGTTTCACCTGTGTCTGTGTCTGTATGTACCTGTGCCTGATGTGTTTCACCTGTGTCTGTGTCTGTATGTACCTGTGCCTGATGTGTTTCACCTGTGTCTGTGTCTGTATGTACCTGTGCCTGATGTGTTTCACCTGTGTCTGTGTCTGTATGTACCTGTGCCTGATGTGTCTCACCTGTGCCTGATGTGTTTCACCTGTGTCTGTGTCTGTATGTACCTGTGCCTGATGTGTTTCACCTGTGTCTGTGTCTGTATGTACCTGTGCCTGATGTGTTTCACCTGTGTCTGTGTCTGTATGTACCTGTGCCTGATGTGTTTCACCTGTGTCTGTGTCTGTATGTACCTGTGCCTGATGTGTTTCACCTGTGTCTGTATGTACCTGTGCCTGATGTGTTTCACCTGTGTCTGTATCTGTATGTACCTGTGCCTGATGTGTCTCACCTGTGTCTGTGTCTGTATGTACCTGTGCCTGATGTGTCTCACCTGTGTCTGTGTCTGTATGTACCTGTGCCTGATGTGTTTCACTTGTGTCTGTGTCTGTATGTACCTGTGCCTGATGTGTCTCACCTGTGTCTGTGTCTGTATGTACCTGTGCCTGATGTGTTTCACCTGTGTCTGTGTCTGTATGTACCTGTGCCTGATGTGTCTCACCTGTGTCTGTGTCTGTATGTACCTGTGCCTGATGTGTCTCACCTGTGTCTGTGTCTGTATGTACCTGTGCCTGATGTGTCTCACCTGTGTCTGTGTCTGTATGTACCTGTGCCTGATGTGTCTCACCTGTGTCTGTGTCTGTATGTACCTGTGCCTGATGTGTTTCACCTGTGTCTGTGTCTGTATGTACCTGTGCCTGATGTGTTTCACACCTGTGTCTGTGTCTGTATGTACCTGTGCCTGATGTGTCTCACCTGTGTCTGTGTCTGTATGTACCTGTGCCTGATGTGTCTCACCTGTGTCTGTGTCTGTATGTACCTGTGCCTGATGTGTCTCACCTGTGTCTGTGTCTGTATGTACCTGTGCCTGATGTGTCTCACCTGTGTCTGTATGTACCTGTGCCTGATGTGTTCACCTGTGTCTGTGTCTGTATGTACCTGTGCCTGATGTGTCTCACCTGTGTCTGTGTCTGTATGTACCTGTGCCTGATGTGTCTCACCTGTGTCTGTGTCTGTATGTACCTGTGCCTGATGTGTCTCACCTGTGTCTGTGTCTGTATGTACCTGTGCCTGATGTGTCTCACCTGTGTCTGTGTCTGTATGTACCTGTGCCTGATGTGTCTCACCTGTGTCTGTGTCTGTATGTACCTGTGCCTGATGTGTCTCACCTGTGTCTGTGTCTGTATGTACCTGTGCCTGATGTGTTTCACCTGTGTCTGTGTCTGTATGTACCTGTGCCTGATGTGTCTCACCTGTGTCTGTGTCTGTATGTACCTGTGCCTGATGTGTCTCACCTGTGTCTGTGTCTGTATGTACCTGTGCCTGATGTGTCTCACCTGTGTCTGTGTCTGTATGTACCTGTGCCTGATGTGTTCACCTGTGTCTGTGTCTGTATGTACCTGTGCCTGATGTGTCTCACCTGTGTCTGTGTCTGTATGTACCTGTGCCTGATGTGTCTCACCTGTGTCTGTGTCTGTATGTACCTGTGCCTGATGTGTCTCACCTGTGTCTGTGTCTGTATGTACCTGTGCCTGATGTGTTTCACCTGTGTCTGTGTCTGTATGTACCTGTGCCTGATGTGTCTCACCTGTGTCTGTGTCTGTATGTACCTGTGCCTGATGTGTCTCACCTGTGTCTGTGTCTGTATGTACCTGTGCCTGATGTGTCTCACCTGTGTCTGTGTCTGTATGTACCTGTGCCTGATGTGTCTCACCTGTGTCTGTGTCTGTATGTACCTGTGCCTGATGTGTCTCACCTGTGTCTGTGTCTGTATGTACCTGTGCCTGATGTGTCTCACCTGTGTCTGTGTCTGTATGTACCTGTGCCTGATGTGTCTCACCTGTGTCTGTGTCTGTATGTACCTGTGCCTGATGTGTCTCACCTGTGCTGTTCTGTATGTATGTACCTGTGCCTGATGTGTCTCACCTGTGTCTGTGTCTGTATGTACCTGTGCCTGATGTGTCTCACCTGTGTCTGTGTCTGTATGTACCTGTGCCTGATGTGTCTCACCTGTGTCTGTGTCTGTATGTACCTGTGCCTGATGTGTCTCACCTGTGTCTGTGTCTGTATGTACCTGTGCCTGATGTGTCTCACCTGTGTCTGTGTCTGTATGTACCTGTGCCTGATGTGTTTCACCTGTGTCTGTGTCTGTATGTACCTGTGCCTGATGTGTCTCACC